CTAGCTGCTTTTCTGCTAGCAATTGCTCCCGTGGTGTTTGTGTGAGTGTGAAATACATATGTTTTTAAAACAGCAGCAGCAGCAACAACAACAACAACTAAACACGAGAACTGCCATTGTTGTTTATCCAGCCCTGTAATCCTTGCATAACTGAACATCTTATTCTGCACCAAGCACCACCGAAGCTAATTAAACTGCCATAACATCCTTTTGCACGCTTGTCTTTAAATAGTTGCAAACTCCAGAGTTTGGGGTTTTTACATCATGCCCAACTTCCCCCTCTGCACTCCCTGCCTGCCTCTTTACCTGTTTTTCTTAACATCTAGCCCAGAGAAGGGTAAGTTTGGTCCTCCTAACAGAGGGTCCATGTTGTGCTAGGCCCTGAAACTCTTTCCTAACTGGCTTGTGGGTGGGGCTTGCCCTGCTCCAAGCTGGTGGTGCCACAGTTATGCCAATGGCCTTTAGCCAATCAGCAGCGTGGCAAGGTTGGGGGTATTTACTTGGCAGTGCGACCTCCTTTTGCTTTGCGCTGCCGAACACCCGCCCACCCACCTGTTAATTAGGTCGTGTTTGGCCTTGCTTTGGAGTTCGGTTGGTCGCCTGTTTTTGAATGGCGGCCAGGTAGGAATTTTTTCCAATGTGGCAGATTGGCTGTGGCCACTTGGTTTTTGCCTACCTCTTAGCAATCAACACAACTTTGCAAGGTTTGGCGGTTAGGCATTGGTTTAGGGGAATGTGGGGAGGTGTGGTGCGGCCATCACCTGCCCCTCCAATGAATAGGGTATTCCATTAAAGGAATCCGGGGGTCTGGATCTTGTCTGAAGCCCAGAGAGGGGCTAGGGCCATGCCAGGACCCCCAGGAACCCCAGGGGTGAGCACCAGTCAATATACACTGACGGAGATCCCCCTGCTGGTTATTTACCCTTCCAGGCTTCCTGCAGGGTGGGGCAGGAGCCAGCTATAGTTTGATACCAATGTCTAAGCCAATACCAGTCACATCTGTGTATTTTAATAAAGTTGTGGCCAAAAATTGCCCATTAACATTTAAACTAAATTCTGTCTCCACTGTGTCTTTATTTCCATGGGGGGTGGGTTTTGGGGCCTGAAGCACAATGCAAAAGCTTGCTCACTATTTTGTGCCGTTTTAGTTGGTACAAAAAGCAAGGTCTTATTTTGGATTCTGCCAGCCGCCATTGGAGCAATGCTGTGGATTAATATTGGTTATACTGAGACCTCTGGTTTGGTTGCATCCAGTGTGGGATGGAGAGATAGAAAGAGTGTCGGGCAAGAAGAGGCTAAAAAAAAAAAAGGTCCCCTCTCTGAACCACCTTTTCTCTTCTTCTTTCTTTTGCAGGCCAAGATCTACGTTCTGTCTCTACAATGGAATAACGATGGGCATTTTGAAGAATGAAAAATGGCAAGCGTTTTCTCTGCCTCCCTCGGTGCAGCGTGCAAAGTCTCAGAAAAGGCCACTGCTGCTTCAGCAGCGGATGGGTGGGAATGGCTGGTAGACAGGCATTGTTCTGCATGCTCCCCCTGACAACACACAGGCCCCAAGGTGGGTTTACCCCTTTCAATTCCCTACACAAGGAATAATCACATTTTATCCAGTGCTAAAATATCGCTGTATTGAGCACTGGGGAAAGAACTGCTGTTTGAGCCAAAAATGGAAAATTATTACATTTTTATCCCACCCTTTACCTTATTTTGGATTCTGCCAGCCGCCATTGGAGCAAGGCTGTGGATTAATATTGGCTATACTGAGACCTGTGATATCCAAGCATACTTCGTTCTTTTCAGTGCTTTTTCTCCAAGAAAAATAGGTGCTGGAACTTACCATGAAGCTCTTACAGTAAGTCGCCAGGCGACTTGAGGCAGCTCTGAAAAGATGCTGGTTTGACAACAGCTGCATTCAAGGCCCGCAGAGGGGCTAAAAATTATGGCAAGCTGCCTCCCTGGCTGGTTTGGGGGCTGCCCCTGGTTCTGGTGCAGGTCAAATAAATGTACCCCCCTCCCTCGTTCTGTTAGATTCAGATGGCAGATGGCTAGGGCAGCTTGGAAGGGCCCTCGTGCAAATATGCACAAGTGCAATGGTAGCGGCCTGGTTGGAAAGCCAAAAGCCCATCGCTGCTTCTCTGGGAAAAACTTTGGAACAGCGACCTAAAATTCACAGCATGTTATTCTTTGAAGGAGAACTACCAGAAAATGATTTATAGGTGGTATTTAATTCCGAACAGACTGGCTAAAATGTATAAGTCCGAATCAGATAAGTGCTGGAGATGTAATGAGGTTGAGGGTACATTTTATCATATGTGGTGGACTTGTAAAAGGGTATTGGGAAATGATATATAATGAATTGAAAAAAATGTTTAAAAGTACCTTTCAAAAAACAAAATAATACCAGAGTCCTTTTTGTTGGGGATAATTCAGAGGGAAATTCCCAGGTGTAAAAAAAATACTATTTATGTATGCTACTACGGCAGCTTGTGTTTCGTTAGCCCCCAAATGGAAAACGAGTGAGGTCCCAACCAAAGAAGAATGACAACTTAAACTCATGGAATATGTGCAGCTTGCAGATTTAACATGTAGAATAAGAGAACAAGAAGAATGTACATTTAAAGAAGACTGGAAAATGTTTACTGAATATATGAGTGAAAATTGTGTTCATTTAAAAACGCCGGTAGCATTAAGATAAATTCAACAGTGTAACTAAGTTTTGATGGATGTAACAATGGATTCCTGAGTGGTTTAGTTCATGTAAAATATGCAGGGATGTATGGTATGCAAAATGAACCATGGAAAGAGAAGAAGGGAAGTCATTGATATTTTAAGGTAGTTTAAACAAATATTTTGAAATGCAAATTAGAAAATTTAATAATATCTTCCGTATTTTTTGCTCTATAAGACGCATTTTTCCCATCCTAAAAAGTAAGGGGAAATGTGTGTGCGCCTTATGGAGCAAATGCAGGCTGCGCAGCTATCCCAGAAGTCAGAACAGCGATCGTGCAGCGATCCCTCTTGCTGTTCTGTCTTCTGGGATAGCCGGGCAAAGCCTCTTCAGGGCAGTGGGAGGAACGCTTGCATTGCTTTCGCTGAACGCTTTGCATTGCTTTCGCTGAAGCCAGAACAGCAAGAGGGATTGGTGCGCAGAGATCCCTCTTGCTGTTCTGGTTTCTGGGATTCAGAATTTTTTTTTCTTGTTTTCCTCCTCCAAAAATTAGGTGTGTCTTACGGTCTGATGCGTCTTTTAGAGCAAAAAGTACGGTATATATCTATATATCCCATCACTATATATATATAGCCTGTAGCTTGACCAATCACAGCTAGGATCTAGGTGGAGTCATAGATCTAAAAAAAAGTGTGGACTTGCACACGCTGGCTGTCTTCCATTTTGACTTGAAATGTTCATTTTGGGTTTTTCAGAAGAATGTAAAGGAAAGAAACGGGTGGTGGTGGGGCGCCAGCCCTCAATGGTGCCCACCTGAGAGGTGCCAGAACTGCACTCCGGTGTGCTCTGGCTGAAGGAAAGCACTGGTTCTTCCTCCTCCCTCGTTTTATTCTCACAATAATCCTGTTGTCAGGAAAAAGCAGCAATGCAAAAGCAAGCTGCAGATGTCTGGAATGCAAAACAGGATGTTGATGTGTGGGACTGTACTATTGGAAAAAAGGGGCAGTCTATTCAGTGTACTGAGCACCGGATGTTAGCTCAGAGTGTCATCTGACCTGTACTGGAAGTACAGGGGAGGAGTTGAGACTCTACTGCTGGAGACTGGAGAGTGCAGACACGTTTCTCTGTACTGCTGGAATGACAGAAATAAAGAGATGTAAATAGATTTCTGTCTGTCTCTTTTCCCCTCCCTGAGGGTAGCAGGGAGGAGGGAGGAGGGTGTGTCCCTCTCACGCTGAGTGGGATCGCTGATTTGTGACCTTGCCTGTATCCTGCCGGGAGACGCAGACGGGAAGGTCAATAAGGATCTCAAGCCGAATGCCTGGAGTGAGGCCAGTTACCTCTGACTGCGGCTGAGAATCCTGACACCTGTAGGGCAGGTGGAGTGGCAGTGACTCGCCCCCATGCACTCAGTGAGCTTCACGCACTGGCTGTAGATGCTGAAGCGGCTGCAATGACTGAAGAGCAGCTGCTCTCTCATTGCAAAACGGGTCGAAACAATTGCCTAGAAAGGCCTGAAGCATCGCAGCGCCTCCGTGTGTGCTTGCTGTGGGGCGGATCTCCTGCTGTGCCAGTGGAACATCACAAAACAGGCTGTTAACCCAACGTTTGTTATGCTGGCGTTTGCAATTATACATCTGCCAGCAATTACTGGGATCTGGGCTCTGGTATCTGATTTCACCCTATCTCAGGCAATTAAATCTCTGTGTAACAAGGACCGCTGCATCTCTGAGTGCCTGGGTATAGATAATGAATAGATACATTTGCCTGAACATCATCCGTGCAGAGTTGAGGGACCTACTGTGCCCCTTTACACAAAGACAGACAAACAGCCATCTGGAGAGAGAGAGAGAGAGATGCACATTACAGAACGGCGCTGTGATGTGCAGGTAATGTGGCATTGGTACAGATGTACTTGTAGTCCAGCAGGCAGCGTTCTACACACAAATATATACTCTCTGCATTGTAAAGCTCGTTCTCTTTTCAGTATGGAAGGAAATAGGGCTGTAGCATGGCGTCAGAACACATGTTCTGTATGCCAAAGGCCCCAGGCTCTATCTGGGAATCCCTTGGCAGTGCTGTGAAAAACTACAGCCTGGAACCCGTAGAGCTGTTGTCAGTCAATATAAACCAGGGATGGGGGTCCTGTGGCCCTCCAGATGTCGAAGGGCTCCAGTTCCTTTCACCTCAAGCCAGCATGGTCAATGGTCAGGATTAATGGGCCTTGCAGTCCAGCAACATTTGGAAGACCACAGGTTCTCCAGCTCCCCTGCCTAGCAAATATCGAGTCCATTTGCACTGAAAATGGATGAGCAATTGGATTTGTTCTTACCTCAGCATTAATTTTCATTGTCTCTTCTGTGTGGTAAAGCAAGCACTTTTGCCCCGAAGACGATACGTTGACGTACACTTGCAAGCAAGGGTACTGAGAGGTTTTCAAGCAGTCTGGACCGCAGCTGAACGAGCAGTTGAAGGTTTCTGTGATGGAGATGTTGAGGAGCGTGCACTGCGTCTCTGCTGTCCAAACACTGGCCAGGAAAGAGGGAAAGAGAATTTGGACAGAGAAAAGGCTTAAAAGGTTGGAATACCGCAAAATTCCGTGGCCAGATTGCTCACCAGAACAAGATGGTTTGAGCATGTAACACCATGGGCAGCCAATTAGTTTCTGGGCTGAATTCAAAGTACTGGTGTTGACCTATTATATATGGCTATACAGTGGTACCTCGGGTTACATACGCTTCAGGTTACATACGCTTGGTTACTAACGAAGAAATAGTGCTTCGGGTTAAGAAATTTGCTTCAGGATAAGAACAGAAATTGGGCTCCGGCGGCGCGGCGGCAGCAGGAGGCCCCATTAACTAAAGTGGTGCTTCAGGTTAAGAACAGTTTCAGGTTAAGCACGGACCTCCAGAACGAATTAAGTACTTAACCCGAGGTACCACTGTACATGCTGACTTCAGCCATTAAATAATCTATGGGGACTCTTATTATGATTATTTTTATTTTTATGCTGTCTATTACTATTGCAACTATTACAGTGGTACCTCGGTTTTCGAATGTAATCCGTTCAGGACCAGCCCAGGACATTTAGTAGGGTTGCCATATTCCCCAAAGTGAATATCAGGACAAAATTGTTGAGTTTTTGTTTTTTTTAAGGGGCGGGTGTCCAAAGTTGTTGATGACATTTTGTTGCCTGTTTCCTGGACGTGGTCTGGGAAAACCTGAGGCGAACCACAAAATGGCAATTAGATAAGTAAATAAGGTTCAGAAAAGAGCCACCAAAATGAAGTTTTTCTCCCTCCCTAGATGGCTTGAAAAGAGGATTGGAAAAACTATTGGAGGAGAAGAAGGCTACCAATGGCTTCCAGCTGGAGGCAGCAATGCTTTTGAATGACAGTTGCTGGAAACCACAGAGGGAAAGGGCTCTTGTGCTCAAATCCTGATGGCAGGTTTCCCACAGGCATCTCGTGGGAACTGTGAGAACAGGATGCTAGACTAGATGGGCCATTATGGGCTTAATCCAGTGGGCTCTTCTTATGTTATTTCATACAATTTTACCAGAATTTTCTCTCTGGGTTTTGTCTGCTTCATTCAACTCTGTCTGCTTATGACAGGTTTCTGCTAAACATTCACAGGTGTTTGGGATATCTGTCTGTCTGTCTGTCTCTATCTATCTATCTATCTATCATCTATCTATCTATCTATCATCTATCTATCATCTATCTATCATCTATCTATCTATCTATCTATCTATCTATCTATCTATCTATATCTATCATCTATCTATCTATATCTATATCTATATCTATATCTATATCTATATCTATATCTATCTATCTATCATCTATCTATCTATCTATCTATCTATCATCTATCTATCATCTATCTATCATCTATATCTATCTATCTATCATCTATCTATCATCTATCTATCTATCTATCATCATCATCTATCTATCTATCATCTATCTATCTATCTATCTATCTATCATCTATCTATCATCTATCTATCTATCTATCTATCTATTCTATCTATCTATCTATCTATCATCTATCTATCTATCATCTATCTATCATCATCATCATCTATCTATCATCTATCTATATCTATCTATATATCTATCTATCTATCTATCTATCTATCTATCATCTATCTATCTATCTATCTATCATCTATCTATCTATCTATCTATCATCTATCATCTATCTATCTATCTATCTATCTATCTATCTATCATCTATCTATCTATCTATCATCTATCTATCTATCATCTATCTATCTATCTATCTATCTATCTATCTATCTATCATCTATCTATCATCTATCTATCTATCTATCTATCTATCTATCTATCTATCATCTATCTATCTATCTATCTATCATCTATCATCTATCTATCTATCTATCTCTATCATCTATCTATCATCTATCATCTATCTATCTATCTATCTATCATCTATCTATCATCTATCTATCTATCATCTATCTATCTATCTATCTATCATCTATCTATCTATCATCTATCTATCATCTATATCTATCATCTATCTATCTATCTATCTATCATCTATCATCTATCATCTATCTATCTATCTATCTATCTATCTATCTATCTATCATCTATCTATCTATCTATCATCTATCTATCTATCTATCTATCTATCTATCTATCTATCTATCATCTATCTATCTATCTATCTATCTATCTATCTATCTATCTATCTATCATCTATCTATCTATCATCTATCTATCTCTATCTATCTATCTATCTATCTATCTATCTATCTATGCAAGGCATTCGACAAGGTGCCCCATGATATTCTTGTAAAGAAGCTGGTAAAATGCGGTCTTGACTATGCTACCACTCAGTGGATTTGTAACTGGCTGACTGACCGAACCCAAAGGGTGCTTATCAATGGTTCCTCTTCATCCTGGAGAAGAGTGACTAGTGGGGTGCCACAGGGTTCTGTCTTGGGCCCGGTCTTATTCAACATCTTTATCAACGACTTGGATGATGGACTCAAGGGCATCCTGATCAAATTTGCAGATGACATCCAACTGGGAGGGGTGGCTAACACCCCAGAGGACAGGATCGCACTTCAAAACGACCTTGACAGATTAGAGAACTGGGCCAAAACCAACAAGATGAACTTTAACAGGGAGAAATGTAAAGTATTGCACTTGGGCAAAAAAAATGAGAGGCACAAATAAAAGATGGGTGACACCTGGCTTGAGAGCAGTACATGTGAAAAGGATCTAGGAGTCTTGGTTGACCACAAACTTGACATGAGCCAACAGTGTGACGTGGCAGCTAAAAAAGCCAATGCAATTCTGGGCTGCATCAATAGGAGTATAGCATCTAGATCAAGGGAAGTAATAGTGCCACTGTATTCTGCTCTGGTCAGACCTCACCTGGAGTACTGTGTCCAGTTCTGGGCACCACAGTTCAAGAAGGACACTGACAAACTGGAACGTGTCCGGAGGAGGGCAACCAAAATGGTCAAAGGCCTGGAAGCGATGCCTTATGAGGAACGGCTAAGGGAGCTGGGCATGTTTAGCCTGGAGAAGAGGAGGTTAAGGGGTGATATGATAGCAATGTTCAAATATATAAAAGGATGTCATATAGAGGAGGGAGAAAGGTTGTTTTCTGCTGCTCCAGAGAAGCGGACACGGAGCAATGGATCCAAACTACAAGAAAGAAGATTCCACCTAAACACTAGGAAGAACTTCCTGACAGTAAGAGCTGTTCGACAGTGGAATTTGCTGCCAAGGAGTGTGGTGGAGTCTCCTTCTTTGGAGGTCTTTAAGCAGAGGCTTGACAACCATATGTCAGGAGTGCTCTGATGGTGTTTCCTGCTTGGCAGGGGGTTGGACTCGATGGCCCTTGTGGTCTATTCCAACTCTATGATTCTATGATTCTATGATCTATCTATCTATCTATCCATCTATCATCTATCTATCTCTATCTATCTATCTATCTATCTATCTATTTATCTATCTATCATCTATCTATCTATCTATCTATCTATCTATCTATCTATCTATCATCTATCTATCTATCATCTATCTATCATCTATCTATCTATCTATCATCTATCTATCTATCTATCTATCTATCTATCTATCTATCTATCATCTATCTATCTATCATCTATCTATCTATCATCTATCTATCTATCTATCTATCTATCTATCTATCTCTATCTCTATATCTATCTATCTATCTATCTATCTATCTATCATCTATCTATCTATCTATCTATCTATCTATCTATCTATCTATCATCTATCTATCTATCTATCTATCTATCTATCTATCTATCATCATCTATCTATCATCTATCTATCTATCTATCTATCTATCTATCTATCTATCTATCTATCATCTATCTATCTATCTATCTAATCTATCTCTTCAACTGGTTTGGCTTTTAAAAACGATCAAACCCTCCAAGTGTCCCTATTTTCCAGCGACAGTCCCGGCTTTACAGAAGCCGTCCCGGTTTCTGATTTGATCCCAGAACATCCCACTTTTCCTTAGGACCTCCCTATTTTCATGCGAGAAATGTTGGAGGGTATGGCAGGACATCCCTATTTAATCAGAGATATGTCGGAGGCAGTGCTATTTTTCTAGAAAAAGAGTTGCTGGAACTCACCATAACCGCCTCCCTTGTTCTCTTATAATGGTAATGGCGCCCACCTGAGAGGTGACGGAACTGAGTTCCCTTTAGTTTCAGCCGGAAAAAAGCCCTGGTTGGAAGGTATGAACTATTCCTCCTAATGCTTAGGGCCATCTTACCCATAGGCGCTAGGGGTGCAGCGCACTCAGGCGCCGAGATCTCAGGGGCGTCAGGCCAAGAGTCCAGAGCCCGCGAGTTGAGTCTGGGGAAGAGCCCGCTTGTCGGTCGGAGAGGCTCTTCTGCTGCAGGCGGCTCTGCGCTACGAGTTCGGGGGCGACCAAGCCAGTGAGATGCTGAGGTGGCCAGCCGGCTCTGCCCTCCTGCGCGCCTGGGACTGGGCAACCTGGGGTGTGTGTGGGTCTTTGCACCCTGGCCCCGCATATGCTGAAGACAGCCCTGCTAATGCTGATGTAAGTCTCCCTGTGCTCAGGTTTACGTAGCCCAAAACTGCAGGCCATGTTACAAATGACAGCTTCCTTCTCCCTTCTCCCCATAATTTGAGTAATGTTTCCTAAATCATTTCAGGAAAGATCTGTATAAACTGTTGTGCCTCAGAAACCTTTAGAGAGAAACCTGGCTAGGAAGCCAGGGGTATTTAAATTCCAAAACCACCCTCTTTTCAGGGATCCTTAATTAGACATCCCTGCCAATTACAGTTAAGGTCAAATTATTCCTCCGCAATCACTGGTGATGTTCTTAACCCACATGACACTCCAGACTCCTTCCATGAATATCAAAGCATCATACGGTCTGGAAAGTAGTGGAGTCTGACAAGATCCCAGTGAGGTAGAATGTTTTGTGTCTGTGTGTGGGGGTTGTTTTTGGCTTTAAAAAGGGGTCAGATAAATTCAACGGGATGGCAACATGTCCTAGGACATGCCTCCATCTGAAGGGCTGGGACAGTCTTCCAACTGAAGCCAGCCTCTATTTGAAGGCCTATCTGGTCCAAGTCTGTTTTGAAGATAAAGAACCCCAATAATTTAAGAACCAAAGAAAAGCCTCACTGGGTCAGGTCACTGACCCACCTTGTCCAGCACCCCCATAACACAAGATGCCTATGGGGAGCAAGCAAGCAGAAGGGCTGCAGGAAAGATTAAGCAGAAAAAACACAGAAGTGATCTCATCCCTAGCAAAATTATTGCTAGGATATGTAGTGAGTGTCTCACTTTGAGGAAAATTATTACATAGATCAGCAGGATTTCCACTTGTGAGGAGGAAGGCATTAGTCTTACACCAGAAGGAAGAAATAACCCCTCAAAGTGCTGCAAAATAGCTTGATCCTTTTTATAAATTAAACTTCCATTTTCCTTCCATTTGAAAGCTTATAGTTTTCTCTAGGCCACTGATTCTTACTGCCGCTCCCTGCTGAATTAGGCCAGGGCTGTGTTTTGCGGTGATAGACGCTCAACGTTTTATGGACTTCAGTGGGACATAGATTAGCCGATAAGGATATTAGTCGAAACCTCATACTGTGAGGGAAAGGCTGCCAAATCTTTTCATTTCTCTGCTGTGCCGCTTAATCCAAGGCTAAACAATGACAAAGGAAGGAGATAAAATATATGAGGCTAAAACCCCCCACTAGGAACTGAGCACTGTTCTGGTAGCAAGCTCTGCCCATGTCTCCATTGCTGTGAGGGGTGTCCTGTGCCACTTTTTAAATGAAAACACAACCCTATATTGTAAATGAATAGATGGATCCTAAGTGATCCAGGCCAGCTGTAGAGTAGAGTAGGAACTGAAGTGATGCTTCGTTTTGCGTAGGGGGAACACAGTGTAACCGGATACGAAAAGTGCACCCCAGAATGGCAGCCATTTTTCGTCTAGGTTTAGTTGTCCACTATCAATAAATAAAGTGCCCTGCTTGTTTGGTGGTTCAATTATTTGGTGGCAACCTTCCCAACTCTGTATCACAGCAAATGCTTCAAGCTCATAGGCGCTCAACTGACATCATCTGCCCCATGGGAAGGAAGAAGAAAGTGAGAGAGCCCTTCTCCAGTTGGACTCATCCCTCTTCGGGCCAACTTGACATTTTATAACATTTATTTATGTAAACCACCTTGGGTGCCTTGGCAGAAAAAGCATATATAAATGCAATGCAGTGCAATCAATCATAGAATGTTTGAATGAAGGACTATTGTGGAAATAGTCCCAGTACGTTTCTGAACACAATTCAAAGTGTTGGTGCTGACCTTTAAAGCCCTAAATGGCCTCGGTCCTGTATACCTGAAGGAGCGTCTCCACCCCCCATTGTTCTGCCCGGACACTGAGGTCCAGTGCCAAGGGCCTTCTGGCGGTTTCCTCACTGCAAGAAGCCAAGTTACAGGAAACCACACAGAGGGCCTTCTCGGTAGTGGCCCCCGCCCTGTGGAACACCCTCCCAACAGACGTCAAAGAGAACAACAACTACCAGACTTTTAGAAGACATCTGAAGGCAGCCCTGTTTCGGGAAGGTTTTAATGTTTGATGGATCACTGCATTTTAATATTTTGTTTGAAGCCTCCCAGAGTGGCTAGGGAAGCCCAGCCAGATGGGTGGGGTATAATTAATTAATTAATTAATAATAATTATTATTAAATGATTCATACAGTGTTGAAGGAATGGTGTGACTGCTTCAGCACCCACAAAGCTCACACTTCTACAAGTGTCCTTCACATGGTCATTTGCCCAAAATTCACAACATGCCAATTTCACTGTCCAAGTGTCTCTATTTTCCAGGGACGTCCCTGATTTAGAGAAGCTGTCCCGGTTTCTGATTTGATGCCAGAAGGTCCCGCTTTTCCTTAGGACGTCCCTGTTTTAATTGGAGAAATGTTGGAGGGTATGGTAGGATATCCCTATTTTCATTAGGGAAATGTTGGGTAGGGCATGGAGTTATCTGACCCCTGAGCCCTCTGAAGGCAGTCCTGTACAGTGGAACCTCGGTTTTTGGATTTAATCTGTTCCGGAAGACCATTAGGCTTCCAAAAAGTTCAAAAATGGAGCATCACAGGGCTGGCTGCAAAGTCAATGGAGAAAAAATGAAAAACAGTTCGGCTTCCAAAAATCATTCAAAAACTGGAGCAGTTACTTCTGGGTTATCTCAGCATTTGGGAGCTGAAACGTTCCAAAATGGAGGCGTTCGGCAACCGAGGTTTGACTGTATAGGGAAGTTTTTTTAAAGTTAAATGTTTTATCATATTTTTATGTATGTTGGAAGCTGCCCAGAGTGGCTGGGGCAACCAAGTAAGGTTTGTGGGGTACAAATAGTAAAATTATCATTATGGAATGGGACGTCCCTGTTTTCATCGGATAAATATTGGAGGGTATGCCCCACAGCATCTCAAACCCATATTACCCCTTAGTAACAAACCCAGGTAGTTCCACTAGCTCCTTATCCAATTGTTCACCCCTCAGCCTTGCTCCTGCCCCTCAAAACAATTTTACTGTGTGTGTGAGAGGGGAAAAGCATTTACCTTTGCATGTATGACCTCAGCAGCGTGATTCCCAGCAGGAAGTACATCATAATCGAACAGACCATCATAGTCAGTCCCAGCAGTATGGCCCGGTCCTCCCCTGCTTTGAGAGCGGTGACTGTTTTCCTTTTGTCCAGCAGATCATGATCCCTGATTTTTTGGTAAATATTTCTGAGGTTGAAAACAATACATTCTTATGTGGAGTTCACACTTAATCAATAAACCCTCTAAAAGGACTGACAGTTCCGCTGCCAGGGCCTGTCTCACGGGAGAGCAGGCTTGTAAGGTTTCCACAGCTGATGTTTCCTAAACAGTTTGCTCGGACCTGGTCGTGGGGGGGGGAGGGGAAAGAAACCACCGGCACCCGAAATGTGCCACAGACATCTGCCGTTGAAATGTTTTCAGCTGTAGAGGGGGTGATTTGCAGATTGTTTGCAAAGGCCTAAATCACTCACACTAGAGCAATCTCACGGGAGCATCTTGCAAAATGTGTTCTGCGACCGAATGGCAATTCTCAAAGCTGGACCCTGCTTTTCGCGTTGCACAAATTTCCTGGCCGCATTGCTGAAATGTGCTTTATGTGGGACTTCCCTTAACAATAGTCTGAAAAATCCAAATTGTCCAGAATGTGGTTGCTGAATGTGGTCAGCTGGTGTCAACAGATTGGCTCATGTTTCACTGGTCCTTCATCAACTTAACCAGTTGCTCAATTCACAGTGCTGGTTTTGAGCCCTCAGTGGTTGGAGATCTAAGTATCTTACTGAAGCACCTCTCTGTGTATCCTCCACCAAAAAGGGACAAAGCCTTTTCAGTGGTGGCTCCCAGATTGTGAAACAGCCTCCCAGGAGAGAATGGCTGCCAGACCGCATGGTTGCCCACTTGCAAGTGAGCTTTGAAAACTGTTCTATTTTAGTGGGTTTTTTTTTTTTAAAAGTCCTGGCTCTTAATGCTTTTTGAAATTGACTGCTACTTTTTACTCATCCCTGTTTTACTGCTGGGATTTGCTTGATTATTCCATTTTATGATATGTTAAATCCTTCCGAGCTGCCTTGAGTATATTGTGAACTAGAAGGACAGGATATCTAAATTATAGGAATAAAATGATAAGAATAAAATACGGTGCTTCAAATGTAAAAGAAATCAACAGAAGAGGGACACAGCAAGAGGCCTTAACCCATTGAACCCCATATTGTCTATTTTCTCCAGGCTTGCAGGCAGAGGGTCTCCCTTGACACTTATGACAGGAGGATCTTTTTAAAGTTGGAGATTCTAGGGATTGAACCTGGGGCCATGGAGACGCCACTTTTTGCAAGAATCAGGTCGCTCTGAGCCTGATCAGAAACGCAGGGATGCTGCCAAAAATGTTGGCTCCATTTCAGCTCCCCCTCCATAATATGTAGTTCAGCTCACCTTGAGTCTTGAAAGGGGAAACCCCTGTTGTACAAGTGGGAATCCTTGCACGGATAGGAGGTGTTAGCTGGATATTGACGTGGGCATAGCCAGAGATCCACTGGATCCTTACCCTCCCACTCATCCTGTTGGATATAGCCTTAGGACTGCACCTTTCTCTGGCTACCAAGCTAAGGATATTATTTAGTGCAATGTACGCTAGACTGCGTAAGCTGAGCTTCATTTCCTATGGAGAAGTGATGTAAGCAAGCGTTGCCCGGCTGTGGCTATTTATCAAAATGTATTTAACCGTGATAGCTTGCTATCGAGAATTTGCGTCGTTACCAAATGAGAGCAGGCAAGAAAAGCAACAATTGTCATGCCGTTCTGGAACATTAAGCCCATTGCGCGACATAACTTGTGTCACTCTGTAGACATAAAACAGGCACAGTGCAGTCAGTCAACAACGTCACCGGAATGTAAACGGGATTCGAAGGGACGGCTGAGAAACAAGACTGCTAATTGAAAAGGGCCGCAAGCGTCTTTCTACGAGGGGGCTATGAGCCATGAAACACACAGAGGAAAAAGTAATAAAGAGGGGGAGAGAGAGAGAGAGAGAATAACTGGCAGGTAAGTAGAAGAAAGCATCCATCAACAAGGCGATGGAAAGCCCAGCTCGTGTGTAAAGAGTTGTGGTGGCTTGCTTGGCCCTGGAAATCCAAGCACTCTTAACCGCAAACCTATTCATTGGTTGCAAAACACCTTAAAGGCAAAGCCTGAGGGTCAGCAACTGGCAGCCCTTCACCCAAACCTGGCCCCTTGACCGAAACATAAAATTTGTCCAGCCAGGCAGATGAAGAGCATGCATAACGGGAGCAGTGGTATTTGACTATGAGATTTGAGGCCTACTATCCTCTACCTCCTCCTCAGAGTAGTAATATCCCTATATAATTAAGTCACCTGATGAGCCCTTGTTCTGAGGGCCACAGCCAAATGAAGATAATAGTTAGAAGGAGCAGGGCCTTTTCAGCGCTGGCTCCCTGCTTGCCAGTTTTGTTCCTTAGAGAGACTTGCCTGGCTTGTTACCTTTTGACATTTAGAAGGTTGGTTCTATGACCTGGTTACATCCCTAAGCGGGCGGTGATAGTGACTGCGTATGTCTGCTGTTTGCAAGCTGCCTTTTACCGGATGTAGCTGTTTTATTATCTGTTTGACTTTATTGCTGTGCAATTAAATCCATTTTTATATGTAATTTAGTTGGCAAACGCCCTTGAGGACACTGCTGGGCCATCAGATAGGATTCAATATACAGTGGTACCTCGGGTTACAGACGCTTTGGGTTACGTGTTTTCAGGTTACAGACGCGCCAAAACCCAGAAGTACTGGAACGGGTTACTTCTGGGTTTCGGCGCTCGCGCATGCGCAGAAGACCAAATTGTGTCATGTACATGCGCAGACGCGGCGCTGCAGGTTGCGAATGTTGGTACTAAAGGGTTAAGAGGTAACAAGTCGCTCTAATCACTGAGCAGCTGGAAGTCATTAAGCATCCAGGAATGTGAGTTAGTTTGTATAAATAGTCAGTTCACCCGTGTGTCCTCCCCTTCCCCCCTTTGACCTGACTCGCAGACTCAGTTTGTGGCCATGGGCGTGTTTGCTGATATGAGTTAAGTTTAGAGTAAAGTTTTCTTTATGCCGGAGATAAAAGCATGTGTGCTTTATCGCCAGGGTTTTTTCCTTTTGTAAATAAAGTTTTTCCTGAGTTCCAAAGTGCTTGCTCCAGGATTCTTCATTGAAAGGTACTGACTCTCCTGCCTTCTTCAACCGCTGCACGACATTCTCTGCTGAGATAAGATTTATGGCGTTGGAAGCACACTGGACGTTACCTTAACATTAAACTAATTAAAGTTTAATGGACAGCGAATGCTGTGGGTTGCGAACGTGCCTCCTGCATGGATCATGTTCGCAACCCAAGGTTCCACTGTAGCTCTGTGTTGTACTCTTGTATGACCAACAAGAAAGCCCAGCCTGAGGCTGTGTGGACAAAGGCAGTGCAGGAAGGACCAAACCTATTTCTCAAAGCTGAAAGACATCAGGAACATGGAGCAGGTCTTGCCCTTGATCTTCCCCACTCAGGTGTCCTCACTACCCTAAATGCAGCATGTGGTTGGGTGAAGAAGAAAGCAATCCTTACTCCAGCCTCTGGATGAATGGCTCCATCAATAGATGAGTGGTGGGAGAAAAGCCAAGGAGTTTATTGGCAAGAACTGGAACTCCACTTTTCTGCCACTCACCATAGCTGATAGGTCATTAGTCAGGAAACAGGGGCCCACACACTTAGCCTTGGTAGCCAGCAGTTATTTGCTGTTACCCACCCACTACTGGCCACCACCAAACCCTCTGACGGGGTGCCAGCTATAGGGGGTGGAAAGAGCTTCAGCTCCCTCAATATTTCTATGTAGGGGGCTGAGCCCCCTCTGGCACTACTGCCAACACTGAGTGAGCCCTGGCACGCCGGTGACGGCAGGAGGTGTGGAGGGTGACTTTCACCCTTGACTTTCACCCTCCACACTCCCTGTCGCGACCGGGAAGGTGCTCTGGAGATTCTCAAAGGGACGTCCGTGTGTCCCTGGCAGGCCTGGCTGGACTGGGGTGTGTGTGTCGCGCTTGTGACATCATGCATGTGCAACCGGCCACCCCAAAGCTGGCGCGCCTGCCCTCTGACACGGGAGATAGAAGGAAGCAGCCCCTTATTTCATGCAGCGAGATTTTCGCTGCTTCAGAGTGTCTCCAAAACCTGAGAAGCAGTGAAAGATTCACATCACTTGCCTGCCTAGCCTTCCTGGTGTGCCAGAGGATAGAGGAGAGAGGGGCGGTGTCTGCATAAAGCAGGGGAAGGGAATTCAAGGGTTACTTTCCCTTCTGGGGGCCACATGCCAGTAGTAGGAGGGGCCACAGGTAAAAGTGGGTGGAGCTATTAATGCAAATTTTACCTTTGACCGTTAGGGCTAATTTCTACACACACTCATGCACCCTTCTCTATCCTTCATTCGGGCAAGGAAACAGTGACGGAGCTTCACGCTCTGGCACTGGGGGGCGGAGAGCAGGCGGGGGCGGGGCTGGTGTGCATCCCTGGGGCGTGGCGCGCTGCCCGCAGGGGCATGGCGATGTTGGGAATTGAGTTCCCACCAGCTGCGAGGTAGCAGCACATTGTTTACATCATGTGATGTGTCTGAGCGTGAGACAGGAAGTCTCAGCTGATTCTCAGTGCTGAGTTCTCAGCGTGTAACTTGAGGACGTACTTTCACTTCTGAGGTAGAAGCTGCTCAGGAGAGCAGACATGCTTGTATTAGCTCCGTGATGTACAGTCTTAATAAAGTAATGTGTTAGCCTACGGACTGTTTCTTCTGTCATGGAATGCCAGAAGATTAGTGTGCTCCTCTCAGGAGGGAGGGGTCGCTTATTACCGGTCTCTCTGGACTGAGGGAGGATTCCAGCCAGAGAGTGACCACCAGAGAGAGGCCCCGATGTCTGGGGAAGGTGGCACCCTTCCCGGGGGCGTGTGTTCAACAGGTACACCGCCTGTGGGGACGTGGCACCCAGTGCAGGCGGGGGGGGGGGACGACAGCCACGATGGCACCCAACCGGGATCACGCCGCCGGGGGCGGTGCGCTCCCCCTGCACTCCTCTTCCTCTGCCAGTGCAAGGAAGCAGCATTATCGGAGTTCAAGGCTGCATTCCAGCCAGGTAGAAACACTCTTGGAGGCTACAAAACCAGGCTGGCCAGGAACATGGCTTGGGAGGGAATGTGGCCTGGATGTGTGTGTGTTTGTTTCGCATTTCCCCCCTGAGCCTGAGGTTCCCCATCCCTAACATACAGTGAGAGCAAGGCCCACTTTGAGTTAGTTCTCTGATAAATTACCGTACTGGTACCATCCGAATTGCGCACTGGCAGATGGTGGCACAGATGTGTTTGGTGTTGGGGGAGGGGAGAGCATTTCACAGAACAACCTCCTTCTACCAAAACCCCACAAAATTATCTCCCCACGACAAGGACAAAACGTCTCTGAACGGATGGGGCAGTTCTGAATGGCAGTGGAGAAGCAGATCTGTTAATTTTTTTTTTAAAGTAGTGATATGGCAGGAATGTTCTGTCTCTTTTTTAAAAAGGCAGCAGAAATTCAATTTTTTTTAAAAAAAACTTTTTAAAAGAGTGTGGAACAGAGGAAGGGAAGGAATATCTTGTTGGCTGGTGATGGCACCAGCACTAGCCAATAGGTGCTTTAGACTGACACTAAGCTAAAGAGGAAAAAACCAGCAGAAGGCTGCGTGGGCACCATTCATTTAAAGCACATTTTGAAGCATATATATAAACTGACCTACTCAAAAGCACCCCAAAGAATTTCCAGCACCCTAAGCAAACTAGTTCCCAGGTTTCTTTTTGGGTGTGTGTGTGTATGCTTAAATGTATGATGTGTTCACAGCTTCATTCTCCTCCCATCCACCTTTCGGGGACAAGTGGGCCTAAAGGAAGGCAATCCTACATTTCAAAGCAAGCCTATAGACGCCACGTACCTTCTTTCGTCGTGTCTGTACGACGTGGAGCTCCTCCCACTGGTCCAAATGAACATCTTAGAGGATTGGTCTCCGCTGCCTCTCCTTACTGTGGAGGTCCTGGAGGGATGGTGGTAGTACCTAGGAAGCAACAGACAGCCACCATCACCACGTGCTGAGACCCTGATGGGCCCCATTGCATCCCTCAAACCCAAGCGGCAAATCCTGGTTGGATCGTTCAATGTTTGCAGGCCCTGCTCTGTGTCGAATGGCTTTTAGGTGATTCCAGGTAATGTGCGAAACACCAGGGATGAACTTCCTATTTCCCCTTCCATCCAGCAGGTTCAAGTGACATTAAATTATTATCTTCTCCTTCTTCTCCTGGACCGTTCTTTCCCCTCCAACTTCTATCAGACTTAACAACACCTTGCTCTGATGCCTTCTCAAGTGTGGCTTAAAAAAGAGAAATAGTTTGTATAGTAAACCCTGTCATGGTTAAATATGGCCCCTGAATGTTTCACTTCTCCTGCCTGCCTTTGCAAGCCTTGCCTGCTCCCTGTTGCTTCCTGATGGGAGCCTCTGTTTGTACATTTGCTCTAAGCAACCGTAAGAATTACAACAATTATGCTGGATCTGCTGTGTATTCTGAAGGCACTGATCTGTTGCCAAAGCTGCGGTGATGCTTAAGTTGTGGTTAAAGTCCATCTCCTGGATGATGATCCTCTGATTGGCAGCGGTTTGGTGGAGGAGGGAGGTCACAGCAATTTTGACAAGTGCTCCATGACTACCAAAAGGGGAATTTTTTTCCTTAGAAGCCTGCAAGGTGAACGTTTACAAGCATGATTCAAAGTGTTGGTGCTGACATTTAATGCCCTAAACTGCCTTGGTCCAGTCTCCACCCCCATCATTCTGCCCGGACAGGTCCAGCTCTGAGGGCCTTCTGGCGGTTCCCTCACTGTGAGAAGCCAAGTTACAGGGAACCAGGCAGAGGGCCTTCTCGGTGGTGGCTTAGAACGCCCTCCCACCAGATGTCAAAGAGAACAACAACTACCAGACTTTTAGAAGACATCTGAAGGCAGCTCTGTTTAGGGAAGCTTTTAATGTTTGATGCATTACTGTATTTTAATATTTGTTGGAAGCCTCCCAGAGTGGCTGGGGAAACCCAGCCAGATGGGCGGGGTATAAATAAATAAATAAATAAATAAATAATAAACACTGTTTCCTTTCAAGGTCTTTGCTATTCCCTAGCCACATCTCCATGCCCTCCAACATTTCTGCAATGAAAATAGGGGCGACCTTTTCCATAACAATAATTTTATTATTTATACCCCGACCATCTGACTTGGTTGTCTGAGCCGCTTTGGGCAGCTTCCGACATACCGTATTTTTCGCTCTATAAGACGCACCAGACCACAAGACGCACCTAGTTTTTGGAGGAGGAAAACAAGAAAAAAAATATTCTGAATCTCAGAAGCCAGAACAGCAAGAGGGATCGCTGCGCAGTGAAAGCAGCAATCCCTCTTGCTGTTCTGGCTTCTGGGATAGCTGAGCAGCCTGCATTCGCTCCATAAGACGCACAGACATTTCCCCTTACCTTTTAGGAGGGAAAAAGTGAGTCTTATAGAGCAAAAAATACGGTATATGAAAACATAATAAAACATTAAAAAAAAACCTTCCCTATACAGGGCTGCCTTCAGATGACTGGAGGGTGGTGATGGTGGATAACCCCATACCCTTCCACATTTCTCCGATGAAAAGAGGAACGTCCTAAGGAAAAGTGGGGCATTCTGGGATAAAATTAGAAATTGGGGAAGCTTCCATCAATCTGGGCCTGTCCCTGGAAAGTAGGGAACACTTGGAGGGTCTGGCAGACTGGCAAATAATTAATCTCTTACCTGGTGGTGACGAGTATGTCAAATGGGGAAAGGGAGGGTAGAAGAGAGGAATATCCTTCTTCTTATGCCCATAACTCCCTTCCCCATGGGGCCTGGGATCCAGGGGGGCTGAGATGTGGCCACTCCAACTATTAACAGAGAAGTCCTTCAAACAGAGGGCTGACATCCTGAGAGCCCTTCAAACACAGGGCTATCCTCTATAAAGCCAACCAGGCTATTGTGTTGTTCATGATGCCCTGCTTGTAAGCAACTCAAAAGCATCAGGCTGGCTGCCATTGATAATGGCTTGCTGGACTGGATGCACTGTGGTCTGGTCCAGCTCCACCTTTCTTATGTTTGGTATGCGGTATCACCACCATCTTAGCAACAGAAGGACCGTTTCTCCTATGCCTGGGCTTGGCTTCAATTAATCCCCATTCCCATTCTGTTCTCACTCCCCTCTTTTCTCATAATAGTCTCTCTCTCTCTCTCCCACTCTCTGCTTTGTGCTTCCTTTCATGTCTCCTCCCCTCCCAGCACCTTGTACAACCTCCCACTTGGTGTCTGCCAAGCGCAAATCCACCCCCTCTGGAAGCTGAGGCTTCTGTAAGTCCTTCCACCACCAAACCAGCAATTTCCACAAACAACCCCCGTCTCCCAAAGCTGATCTGTTTCCTTTCACGCCGTCTAGGCTTGTTCACAGGTTCACACACAGGCTGCGCGCATGATCACAAAGAGCTCTGGCCTCACAACAAGGGCTCCAAGAGTTCCCAGAATAATTCCAGGACACATGTCTGTGAGGAGAGAGGTGGCTCCACGCTACAGTATTAGAGAAAGCTGTGCTTCAGATGAATTTGAAATATCAGGTCCTGCTGAGATCCAAAGTGCTGCACTGTAAGGTTCTTTGGATTTTCCAGATGATGTGAAAATCAGGCCATGCCTGATTATTAGTATTATTATATTTTTTTGTTTATTCACCACCTTTTTCCCTGACAGGCTCAATAAAATAGGAAGAACAGCTAAAAATATAGAAGAAACAATAATTTTAAACAAATAAACATAAACATTAAAACTATCTATCTATCATCTATCTATCTATATCTATCTATCTATCTATCATCTATCTATCTATCTATCTATCTATCTATCTATCTATCTATCATCTATCTATCTATCTATGTATTATCTATCTATCTATCTATCATCTATCTATCTATCTATTATCTATCTATCTATCTATCTATCTATCATCTATCTATCTATCTATCTATCTATCTGTCTATCATCTATCTATCTATCTATCTATCTATCTATCATCTATCTATCTATCTATCTATCATCTATCTATCTATCATCTATCTATCTATCTATCTATCTATCTATCTATCTATCTATCTATCTATCTATCTATCATCTATCTATATCTATCTATCATATCTATCTATCTATCTATCTATCTATCTATCTATCTATCTATCATCTATCTATCTATCTATCTATCTATCTATCTATCTATCTATCTATCTATCTATCTATCTATCTATCTATCTATCTATCTATCTATCTATCTATCTATCTATCTATCTATCTATCTATCTATCTATCATCTATCTATCTATCTATCTATCTATCTATCTATCATCTATCTATCTATCTATCTATCATCTATCTATCTATCATCTATCTATCTATCTATCATCTATCTATCTATCATCTATCCCTATCTATCATCTATCCATCTCTATCTAAAATCTATTAAAAACATACAGATAATTACAATAAAAGCACCCTTTCATTGAAAGCAGTCAGTTCCCAAAAGCCCGTTGGAATAAGAATGCCTACAGCTGCCAGCGGAAGCACAACAAGGAGGAAGCCAATCTAACTTCTCTAGGGAGTTCCAAAGCCTGGGGGCAGCTACCAAGAAGGCCCTGTTCTGCATTCCCACCTAGCATGCCTGCGAGGGTGACAGGATTGAGAGAAGGGCCTCACCTGAAGATCTCAAAACCTAGGCAGCTTTGTATGAGGGAAACCAGTCTTTCAGCTAGCTTGGACCTAAAATGTATAGGCCCTGAAGATGATGGAGTACTAGCTTTGGTTTGATATGCATAGAGTTTCCAGAGGAAAAGCAGTTCCCATAACTCTTGGATCCCCATTCCAAATTGTTTCTCTGGAACACTGTTCAGTATCTATGAAAGATTGCCTTGTGCTCCTACTTAGCGCAATGCAATGTTGTAGCAAGGTGACCAAGCAAGGGACAATGACAGCAATTGCTCAGGGAAGAGTCTCTTATGAAGGAGAAGGGCTTCATTATGTCTAACCCCCCCCCCCGTGCCTTCAAGCTGTCCATCTGCGACATCATTAATGCTGCCTGCTTCATTAGCAAGGGTGAGCCGCAGCCACCTCCGCCATTTAACACGCAATTACATGCCTAATCTTGTGTAAAATGGTAACACTAATGACATCACCACAGCCGTACCCAAAGGTCGGGCGCATGCAACCTTCTCCCCGGTGCTTCTGTGAGCTGAAGGATCTAAGTGAAAAGGCCTTGATTCTACACGGTCGTCACTGAGCACCTTCTCGCTGGCCCTTCAAGACCAAAGATGGATAGCTTCAGAAGTAGCCTGAGACAGTGACGGTGTTGTTATGGCCACAGCTGAGCTCCCAGGATTCCTGGGTCAAATGCTGGCAGCTGTGGAGGATTACTTCCCTTGTTTTCTGCCTTCTGTGGCCAGGAAAGAAGAAGCATGTGGATTCCCTGGGCCTAAAGAATGGGCCTATATGAGGGAAGGGGAAACCTCTGAACCTCCAGATGTGGTTGGACTCCAATTCCCATCATGCCTCAGCCAGCATGGCCAATGATCAGGGATGTTGGGAGCTGGAATTCAACAACATCCAGAGGACCAAAGACTCCCCAACTCTGGTCTATGTTCAGCCTCCTATTTCTGCCACTATTTCCTCAGGCTCCTGTCTCCAAGAAAAGATTGGTGGAAGGAAGGAAGCGGTTGTTCAGATATTCGCGGCATGAGTCGTTTAGGGATTTAAAGCCTAATGTGAACATCTCGAATTGGGCCTGGGAAGGAACTAGCAACCTGTGCAGCTACTTTAAAACAGGGGTTATATAAGGTCTAAATGGAAGCCAATGGAATTTGTTGGTACTGGAATAATTTAGCATTGAAACGCTGATGAATTTTCACGCGGATGTGCGAGAACTGAACTTAATACCGAAGAAGTGGGAAATTGAGAGAACCGGAAATGGATCGATTTGTC